TGCCCGGGCCCCGCACCCGCAGACACGTCCGCGCGCTTGCCGACGTCCCACAGGAACGCGTCCGCCGCCTCGAGCGTCGCACGCACCCACTGCTCGAGCACCGCCCGCAACGCCAACCTGCTCATCTTTCCGTCTTCCCACCCGCTCGCCTTCGTGCTCGCTTACCCTACCTCTCTCCTACTCACTCACTGGCCCGCCCACGTGTTCGCTCGCTCGTGCAGTTGACGGCGCGTTCAGAGCGCGACATGGACCACTACTGGGATGCTCATGCTTGCGAACGAGCCACTCGAGAACGAGACGTGGTGCGCAGACGACTGGGAACAGCACAGTGGTACGGGTAAGGGTGCTTGCGAGGTAGCTGGGGCTCCGCTTGCTCAATGAATCGTACTATCATATTCGTGTACTAGTAGGATGTACAGCATTGCAGCTAAATGAAGATGTTAGAGACGACTATTGAATGCCCGACCAGTATTACAATAAGTTGAATTAAAAGGTCAATTTTTACTTCTGTCTGAGACTCACTGTGCATCTGAAGTAACCTGAGTACCCTGAGATATCTGGTGTTCTGAGGGTGTCTGAGGCTACCCTATCAGCCTATCAGATGTTCAGAAAGTGCCGGTTTTGCTGATGAAACCTGACCGTCCTGTGTCACCGTCTCAGGATCGTGCTGCAAACAAGACAACAAAGGTTCTTCCTCGCGCCAAAATCCGTGCAGCACCAGCAACCTCATCCACGGCCCCAGTTCCAGACGGGGCCTTGGCCAGTAACGCGGTCCGACCTGAGGGCCAGAAGCAGATGCAGAAGCAACATAACGGTTGGTGTAGCCGCCCTGTGTTGGCTCCCATTGGATTCGGATCTATTCCGCTTCGTGTTCCGGGCCTGGCAGACCCTGCTCACGTCGCTAATCCTCGAAATGCCGCGAGCCCCGCTTTGCCCGTCTTAGAGCAGGGTCCACCGTCTCAGGCAGCATCTGGATCTCGGATTAGGGCTGGAAAGCCATCGGGAGGTGGCAGCCCTCGTTTGGATGTACCTGCACCGCCATCCAACCCACGCAAGCGCAAGGTTGCTGAAGTGCAGGAACCAGCGCAGCCGGCGTCCAGTTCCAAACGCAGCAGGACGGAGGCTGCGCCTATCTCACAAGACGGCGGTGTTCGCAAGTCAGGCCGTCTCGCCTTGGAAGGAGAGGAGGGCAGAGCGAGGGCGCGGGAGTTTACTATCTCAAACTACAAGGCGAAGAAAATGACAGTGTCTGCTAAGGCGACCAAGACGGCTAAGATGGGTGTTAAGAAGTAGAGCCAGTGTTTGAGGCAGACTAGATTCAGCAAGGTGTTTTGCGAGCAAGGGACATATTATTACATTGTGACGAGTGAATATAATACATTGCGATCATGCGACATTGACGAAGACGCCTCAGATATACCTTACTGCTCACCCGCGTTCACGGTGGGACTCGGACCGGCCGTCTAGACGTTTTCGATCGTGTTCGGCGCCGAGTCCACATCCATCTCGCGGTCGTCTCCTTGGGGCGCTTCGCCCAGAGTCGATGATCCAGGAACAGCTTCACCCGAGTCCGCTGGGGTCCCCAGCACGTTGTTGGGTGCGGACTCCGAGGCCGGCTCCGGCTGTGAGTCCACCGTCTTGGGCTGGCTGGTCATAACGACCGCAGGCTCACCGACAGCTCGATTGATCCGAGGCTGGCTGGCGGGGACGGGAGCGCGTACCTGCGCGACGAGCTCCCTCAGGTCGTTCTGCTGCATCGCCACGCCTTGCAATGCTGCCTGCCAGCCCGCATGCAGCACGTTTCCCTCCATCCTGACCTGCCGGACCGCCCTGTCCACCGCGCTGTGCACGTAGCCTGCGCTGGCCTGTTCAAACTCGCTTCTCGAAGTGACGAGGTCGTCGACCTTGGCCTCAAGCGACGCAATTTGGTCCTGATGCTCCCGGGTGACGTCCTCGAGCTGCTCCTGAAGCGTCTCGACCCGGTGGTGCAAGGCCCGGATAGCCACGTTCTTCTTGTTCGACGCCCGCACCAGCTGGTCGATTGCCAGCTCTGCCCGAGTACGCATGATTCGCTCGCCCTCGACTGCCTTCGTGAGTTTTTCCCAGCTCACACCCAGCGCGCCCATCTTGGGCCTGAGATCCCAAGCCACCCTGAGGTTTTCGTCGATGGCGCGGAGCTGGGCGTCCCGATCGTCTGTGAAGTACGGTGTAGCCTCCACGAGCTTCAGCGCCTCCAGTGGACCCAAGGAGGCTGGGCGGAACGAGGCCGGGGTGCTCGACGAAGGTCCGGGACGCTCAGGCATGCGTACGAGCTCGAGTTCCGCTACAACCCACCAGATGCAGGTCATCACTACATGATTAGCGATTTCCAGTCCTAAAACGGAATAACTTACAGTCCTCCCTGTCGTACACTCTCACTGTACTTGGAATTGCCCGCGAGGCGGGAGCCGCTTCAGGGGCGGGCTGGGCAACGGATTGACGCTGTTTGCCCTTGATGCGCGCGGAGCTCCGCCTGGACGCGTCTTCCTCGGCCTACAAGGCGGGATTAGTTTGATGATAACGGAAAGGACTCGCGAGGTGGGCTTACCTTGCTGGACGGATCAACGTCCATGGCATTGCCCTCGCCCAGCGCGGCTTCAGCCATCATACGCTGGTGGACTTCCTCCATCGGATGGTCGACAGTTTGCTCGTCGTCCGTCGCTGTCTGCTGGTGTCCCGCCGGTTGAAGCCAATCCACATCCCCCGCGAGTTCGTCCTGCTCCTCGACAAGCTGGTCCTTCTCCTCCTCGGCGTGGTACTCCTCGTCCTCGCGCTCCGAGGCCGGACTCGGCGGAGCGACTATCTTCTTGCTCTTCTTACGGGGGGGGTGAAGACTGCCAGCGCTTCTTCCTCCTCCTCCTCCTCCTCCTCCTCGTCCTCCTCCTCGTCGTCGACCTCCTCGTCCTCATCCTCGCTTGACGCGGCAGCCTTCGCTTTACCCTTGCCTTTCTTCGAGCGGCTTGCCTTCTTCTCGGCCTTCTCGGCCGGAACCTTGACATCCGCATCGAGCAGGTATTTGGGCCCCTTGGCCTTCGCGGCCGCTTGGAGCGCCTTCGCCTTCGGGCAGATCTTCCCCTCCCAACCGTCCAGCGTCGCAAGGTCTTGAACGAACTGGTCGCGGGTTGGGTTATATAGCGCCCGAGGTGGTGGCGCTTTGCCGTCCTTGATCAGCTTGGCCGCGAACTTGCGGAACCTCGCTCCCATCGTGGAGGACGTGGAGCTTCGATATCCCTTGCCGGTGATAAGGTTGAAGGGGACGAGCGAGCAGGACGCGTTGAACGGGGGACCGCATGTGTCGCATCGCGCCGGGTGGATCATCTTCGCGCCCTTCTCGTCTTCCACCGGCGTGTACTTGCAATCTCGCCCCGTCTTTTTGCAAGCGACGCAGGGCAGCGGCTAGACCTTGTCAGCCAGGCAGAAACCGAGTTAGAGACGTTTCGCTCACCGAGATCTCGTCCTCCAGATTATCCTCATCCTTTGCATCCTTCCTTGTCAGTAAGGCAAGAGGGCGATCAGGGAAGTTTACTTACTGAGTCCTCATCGTCCGTGTTGTCCACGAACGTAGCAGTCTTCTTTTTGCTCGTTCCCGCGGATCCGGAGGCAGACGCTTGGCTCTTCATCGCCGACGCCGGGGTCTTGGCCTTCGACTTCGCCGGCGGAGGTGCCGTCTTGGTCGCGGCCGTCTTGGTCGCGGCCGTCTTGATCGGGGCCGTCTTGGTCGGTGCCGTCTTGGTCGGTGCCGTCTTGGTTTGAGCAGGGGTCCTCCGGAGGACCTTTTTCTTAGGCTCGGGAGGAGCGTCCTTCTTCCCGGCCGCTGCCGACGAGCTCCTGCTCTTCGCTGGCGGCCTCGATGCTCGTGTCTTCGGCTCGGGGACATCCACCTCGGGCTCCCCACCGTCAGAGACCTGAGCGGGCGAGTCCGCTTTCTTGCCCTTGGCCTCAACCCTCGACCGCTTTGGAGGGGGTGGCTTCGCCAGGTCGTTGTCGGTCTCCGAGACCTTCTTCTTCGGCGCGGTTGACTCCGCACGCCGCCGTTTGCTTCCTGTGCTCGGTCCGGGCTGTGGGTCCTGAGCCGCCTCGTTGTCTCCGTCCTGCGCGTGCGCAGTGTCTTGACTACTTCCGTCGTCGGGAATCTCAACTAAAGTTGATGTCAGTCTAAACGTAAGAAACGACGCGGTGTCGTAGCCCATTGAGACGTACACTTATCCCACCACCCAGCCAAAGAGTCCACCATGATCTGGGGAACGGGAAGATCGGCGACCAACTCCTGCGGAATTGACGTCAACTCGCGGTCGTCGTCCTCCTTGATGTTGGCCAGGAAGAAGTCGAGCTGGCCGATGTACTCCTCGTACGCGTATCCGACGATCCTCGGCATTAGCGCGCCACCTCTTGCAGCAGCGACAATCGCGTCGCAGTTGTCGTACTTCAAGACGCGTCGGTTGTCATTATTCGAGTATAATGCATGTTTACTTACCAGAATCTTCCCCACTTTCTTGGTGAGGTCCAGAAGGTCGGCAGGCGACGCGTTCACCGCGGCCTTGAGGTGCGCTGCAAAGCGCTGCATCGTTTTGCGAGCCTTGGACGGGTCGCTGAAGTCGAACGTGGGGCAAGACATGGAAGCAAGACGGGAGTGCGAGACGAGAGAGAGGTGAGAGTGGCTGGCAGAGATGCGTATGAAAGGAAGTAGGACGAAACAGGCCAGTCCACAAGCGGTTCGTCTGAGTTTGATCGAGGTGATCGGCATCACGTGTCAGAACCTCCGTTCTGTGGCTTGCCACGTGAGCTGTGACGCGTCAGATTGATGGGTGGCTGACCGTCGCCTGGTCTTGTTTCGTCTTTTACTGCAGTGTACTGCGGTCTCAGTAGCCTTCGTAGCACGTTATCGTCAGATCAGGTGGTAAGTAATAACATGTGGACGTTTTGGAACCGCTTTAAAACGAACAGAATCTCCTTAGCAGATGTCCGGCAAGCGACCTTCCTCCCCAAGTTCCTCAGCTCCGGGCGCTGATAACAAGCGGGCCCGTATCATAGGTGAGTTGTGAATCCTTTGGGTATCACCCAATACACTGACAATGTCTAACCTGCTTGTTTTGCTCGCTTTGACAATCCGCGCCTAGACCGCCCCGGCTCAGGCACAAGAAAGGGGTCTGGGACGGGCAAAGATTATCTCGGGCCCGAGCGTCCCCGTCTTGCTCCCATCGGTGTCATAGCGCAAGACAGGACCGCCGCACCGCAGGCCGCCGCGCCTCGTGAGGCGATCGACTATGCGGGTCGCAACCGACCCCGCCTTGCTCCCATCAGTCTCGTCCCAGCGACGAGGACGGTCCCCGCCTCGGACGTCGGCGCGCCGCAAGGGCCGATCGACTACGCGGGTCGCAACCGACCCCGTCTTGCTCCCGTGAGTCTCGTCCCAGAGACGACGACAATCCCCGCCCGGACGTCAGCGCGCCCCGAGTGCCGATCGACTACGCGGGTCGCAACCGACCCCGTCTTGCTCCGGTTGGTCTGGTCCCAGCGACGAGGACGGTCCCCGCCTCGGACGTCGGCGCGCCGCGAGGGCCGATCGACTACGCGGGTCGCAACCGACCCCGTCTTGCTCCCGTCAGTGTCGTCCCAGAGACGACGACGGTCCCCGCCTCGGAAGTCAGCGTGCCGCGAGGACCGATCGACTACGCGGGTCGCAACCGACCCCGCCTTGCTCCGGTCGGTCTGATGCCAGCGACGAGGACGGTCCCCGCCTCGGACGTCGGCGCGCCGCGAGGCCGATCGACTACGCGGGTCGCACCGACCCCTCTGCTCCCGTCAGTGTCGTCCAGAGACGACGACGGTCCCCGCCTCGGAAGTCAGCGTGCCGCGAGGACCGATCGACTACGCGGGTCGCAACCGACCCCGCCTTGCTCCGGTCGTCTCGTCCCAGCGACGAGGACGGTCTCCGCGCCGGACGTCAGCGCGCCGCGAGGGCCCGTCGACTACGCGGGTCGCAACCGACCCCGCCCTCCTCCCATCGGTCCCGTCCCAGTGCCCAGGACGGCCCACGCCTCGGACGACAACGTATCGCGTCCGTCGATTGACTACGCAGGGCGCTCTCGCCCGCGCCCTGCTCCCATCGCCTTGTACCCGCCGAAGAAGATGACCGCTGCCCTGGAGGCCAGCGCGCCGGGTGGGCCTACTGGTCAAGCTGGCCCCTCAGCTGGACCCTCCCGTCCCTACCCTGCCGACGGGAGGCCCGCTGAGGCCCCAACAGCCTCCCTGGCGGTCAAGACGGGCGGTGGAGCTCCGGAGCCCGGAGCCATTGATGGGGAACCGAACCTACCCTCAGACGGTGACGGCGTCTCGCAGAGACAGATACCACGCCCCCCCATCCATACCGACTGAAGATGATGAGCCTTCAAAAGAAGCACTCGCAGAAGGGCAAGCAAGTCGTCGAGACGAACCAAGGCGGACAGGCCAGTCCCAGGCAGACACCTTCTCCGCCAGCCACTCCTCCTCCTCAGTCCGGCCCGTCGAGAGCACCCTCTGTGGCGTCCAGTTCCGAGCCTTCTTCAGGTATGTAGAGTTTGACCATTTTCTCGTGTGCCTGTTGATTTAACTCATTCACTTACCACCCTCCAGACTCTGACGCAGGTCCGGGGCCGGTCGAAGTCAAGAACAACCGCGAGTGGTACAAGGTTCAAGCCATCGAGTTAGCCTACCAAAATGAGAAGAAACAGTGGAGGTTCTGGGTGAGCTGGGAAGGCTGGCAGCCTCGGTCGAACAGCGAACTGGCCTGGACGGACGTGAAGTGCCTGGAGGCCCTCCCCATCTATATGGATAGCGCGGTCGAGCACATACTCGACAAACGAAACGTCAATGGCAAGTGGGAGTATTTCATTCACTGGAGGGACACCAGCGAAGATTTCGATGTATGGGTCTCGAAGGACTTTTTGAGGGACACCACCTTGTTGACGTTGTATGAAGACTCGTTGCGACGCTGAATTCCCGTCTTGTATTTCCTCGTACCTGTACCGTCTCAATGCGATTGGTTTAGGCTGCTTAGATATAGATCGATGAGGAGCTGACCGCTTTAGATGATTCAGGACGAACAGGACGGTGAGGTCTCACCGCGTTGGACAACGACAGCCTTCCACCGCCACCGTGTGGGCGAGGAAAACTCGTTACTCCATACTAGCGTCATTCAACCAGCAACTCAATCCATTCAGCCAACACCATCAACTATTCAGCCGATCCCACCCACATTCGAGCCGGCGGATGCAACGTTGCTTGCAAGACGGTGAGACTTCACCGCGTTAGCCACCGATTCACTTCTGCCTCGACCGAGCGGAAAACTCGAGCTTGTACACACTATTCCGTATTACCTAGTAAGATTTCGAACGTATCCAGCCGATTTCATTGTTTGTCCAGCCGACGTATGCGTTATCGGACTGAACGCTGCGATAGACAAGGCCGTGCTCCAAGACGGTGACGCCTCACCGCGTTATACCATGACTCCCTTCCACAGTCACCGCGAGGGCGGGTAGGACTTATGCCCATCGTTTTTGTTCTTCAATCAAACATTCTATTTATCAAGCCCACCCCACTGGCCACCTAGCCGATCCAACCGACATTCGAGCTCAACGCCGCGATAGACGACGCTACCCGGCAAGACGGCGACGCCTCACCGCGTTAGATGACGACCCCCTTCGACCACCATTGCGGGGGTGAGCAAGATTGGTATACACCAGCTTGATATTTTCTTGACATCTATGCCTGCCCAGCAGATGCATCCCAGTCCATCTCCACGGTAGTCCGGGCGACGCACACAAGACGGCACCCGACGCAGCCAAGCTGAAGCCTACCAGCGGCCCATTCCTCACCGCGCTGTAATATTCATAGCGACGCCCACCAATACGCAAGATGGCGGGGCCCGTCCAAGGCGGCTGTCCTCCTTCAATAGGCCAGCCGACGCGTTAGCCTCGGCGGCCGACGCCCATTTCATCAAAACATTGGTATCCGAGTACCCCGCAAATTGTTACAGCATTCACGTATTACTACTGATCCACCATACAAAAGTTGCACCTCGGCTCATGGATCATCGTCCTATTGGCCGAGTCGTCGGCCGCTGTAGGCTACCCTGATGGTGTTCCACGAGACTGCGTGTCGGCCATAGGATGACTATGCGTGAGAAAGAGCTGCTTGGTGTGCTTGATCCGCTTGAGCATCGGCCATGGCAGTGAATCGAACTCCCTCAGTTGCGGGCTTGATGGACCAATGTCGAACAGAAAGTCGGTGAAGAAGTCCGGAGTCGGTCCACTTGCATGAAATTCTTCGAGATCCAGAAACACTTCGTAGTACAAGCTTTCCCAACTCTCCCAGAGTTCAATAGAATCTTGTCGCGTGTCGTAACAATAACCTCCTTCAACACGCACATGCAGCACGGTCAGCGACCGAGGAAACACGGTGCCCAGCTCAGGCATGATTTGTCTTTGAACGGATCTGAGGTTGAAGAAATCCGCCAGATAACATGAAAACGTGATAGTCGTGGTATCGGTTCTACAAGGCCCGAGGTCTTCCGGTGTGAACGCCTTTACATCGAAGGAGCAGTAACCGAACTCAATGTGTAAGGCTTGTACCGCAGCGAATGCCGGCAACGTTATGTTGTCCTTCGGAACGATGTCTGCGATGAGGATCCCGTGATGCAAGTCTGCATTCTCGTCTTCATGGACAACTTGGCCCGAGGCGTCTAAATAAGTATCAATCTTGATTTTTGCAGTGCACGGAAGGGCCAGATGTGCCAGAAGAAACGACATAGCCGCGTGTCCACCATAGTGAAGAAATTTAAAGCTCTTGAGGTATTGAAGGTTGAGGATAGGCCGAATCCTGGTGTCGGTAGGAATCGCCATGGCGTCAATGTCAAGGCCACCAAACGCGAGATGCTCTAGAGCTGGAGAGCTCCTGAGTAAGTTGAACAGTTCGTCCCAGGTGTCACACGACATGTCGTCCAACGTGAGCGATGTCAAGCAATGCACATCGACAATGTTCGCCTTCAGTTCGAAGTCGCCGAGAGACAGGGATCCTAGCGATGAAAAATCGTCCCCATGCAGGCCATATAGGCATAAGTTTGTATGAAATCCCTGTAGTTAGCACAAAGGTATCATACATAAACACCTGTACTTACCAAAGCCTGTTCTCATACATGAGCTGCCACTCGCTCATGTATGAGCAAGGCGCCGTCATGTATGAACGAGGCGCCCTGGGTCGTTACCCGATATAGCAGCCACGCCGGGGCAGCCCGGTCCCTTCGTCCGCCGCGGGGTGGCGCGATGCGAGCTGCCCCATATGGACGCACATCGGGGTCAGCGCATCTGAGATCAGGTACGATCCCGCCCTGCCCGTTGCGTGGCGTCGGTTTCGGCCAACCCCGGGAGCTCGCAACGAGTCGAACGAGCGGCGAGCGCTTCCGCCGGCCGTTTGCAACCTCCTCTGCCACCATCCCGCGTCGGTCACCGACGTCATTAGAGCGCAGCGGGCACGACGACAGTGAACAGCTGACGCTGGCATCAAGGTAAGCGCAGACACATACGAGCGAGCGAGCTGACCGTGGCCACAGGATGCGGCGACGTGCAGTACAGCAGACTGGTCGACCGCGAGCGCGCAGGGCTGATGCCCCGCGTGAAAACACAGCCGACGGATGGACCACGGGCACGGGCGCGAGGGCACGCGGGCGAACGGACAAGCGGACAGGCGGATAGACGGGCAGGCGGACGGGCGGGCAGGAAGATGGGCGGGCAGGAGGACAGGCGAGCAGGAGGATGGGCGGGCAGGAAGGCGGGCGGGCAGGAAGACGGACAGATGAGTGGACGGGAAAGTGAGTAGGCGACCGCACACGCCCACCGCGAGCGCGCTGGGCCAATGCCCAGCACGCAGACACAGCTGACGGATGCACACGCAGGCAGGTGAGCAGGCGGGGAAATGGGCGCGCGGGCAGCAAGTGGGTGTACGAGCGGGAGGGCGGACAAGTGAGAGGGTGGACGAGCAGGAGGGCGGGCGGACGGGCAGGCGGGTGGACGGGCAGGCGGGTGGACGGGCAGACAGGCGGACGGGTGGATGTGCGGACGGGCGGATGTGCGGACAAGCGGGCGAGTATGCAAGGGGGCGAGCGAGCAAGGATACGAGTGGGTGGGTGAGTGGAAGAGAAGGTGAGCAGGAAATCGGGTGGGTGCGAGCGAGAGGGCAGGCGGGCAAGAGAGAAAACGAGCAAGAGGGAAAGTGGGCGCCACAGAGTGCGGACGAGCACTACACGCACGGCGACCGTGAGCGTGCCGGGCGAATGCCCAGCACGCAAGCACAGTCGACGAACGGAATGCAGGCGCGTGAGCGAAAAGCGGGTGACCATGACGGCGGGCAGAACAGGCCTATGTAGGGGCGCGCGCAACACACGGCAACCGCGAACGCATAGGGCGAGGGCCGACTGCTCTGCTGCTCCTGCATGCAGACACGGCCGACGTGTTCGTAAAGGATCGTAAATAGAGACCTTGTAAGATAGTAAGCATATACCCTAATACAAACGAGTTCAGTATAAATCACGCTGCAACACCCCTTATGACCGAGACTCGGAGAACCAGTTCAGTAGTGTAGGTAGACATTCCTATTGTACACGAGAACTTTGGCTTGTCTGCTCTACTACTGCACCTCATTTGTTGTATTTTATGCGACTACACATGTATCTAATCTCTACTAATCCCTAACATATGCACACACAGTGCGAAAATGCCCAGAAGGTGAGTTGCAGATATGTTGTGGTCCTAAGTAGGACCGTTAAACGCGTTGTGATTGGCCAGGAATAGGCCGAGCACATCGGGCTTGCCCAACTTGGTGAGACAACAAATAGAGACAAATGTTCGGTTTACGGGCGCCCGCACGGCTCGCCCAGGTGCTACCATACTGTAGCTCTACCATCTACATACCCACTTCAGACCGACCCTCGGACCAGCACAAACGGCGCATCGGCACATATGAATGGAGCCGCGTCAGTGAGTACGAACGGCGGTGTGTCGATAAAATACAAACGGTGCGTCACCGGGTACGAACAGCAGCACGTCGACCAGCAGAGGCCCCTCGGACTACACAGGCAGCGTCATGCGTGCCGCGATTATCGACGACATCGACTGTAGCTCGTACGCCCCCTCTTCCATCAGGGAAAACCGCCAAAATCATTAAGCACTTCATATGTTCTTGCAACGACTTATAAGCACTTTGAGAGCCCCAAAGTGATCCCAAGCTCCAAAGTGACCTCAACACAAGTACCCTGATTGAGAGCGCTTTTGCTCGTTTCAGAAAGCACTTTTGGGATGCTTTTGGCATTGACCTTGTGCTTCATTTCTACGTGTGGTGTGTTGGTTTATTCTCCTTGTGTGCCAATTTCTGCAGCTTTAGATTCACTTATTGATTGCTCTCAAATCATTTTGGCACATTCCCAGGTATTGGGGTCATTGAATATATTTTTGGTATATGCGAATACATTGATAGACAATGATACAAATGTAGCCTACACTACTTCCAGACTCCAGAGACTTACTAGTCTCCAACATCATACATTACAAAATGAGCAGATGAACGAGCAGATGGGTGGGCGCAAGGACAGACGGGCATACATATGGGTAAGCAGATGGACAAGCAAACAAGCGTGCAGGCGCGTGAATAGATGGGCGAGCAGATGTGTGAGTGTGCCGGCAAGCAAGCATATGGGTGAGCAAGTGGACGCGCCAGCGGACAGGCAGGGAAGCAAACAGGAGAGCGGACACGCAAATGTGCTGGTGGGAGCGGAAGCATACCTTTCAGCTTCAAGCCTCCAAGGTCACTTTCCACACCTCAACCCGCTGGTCCTTCGTCTGTTGCGTGCTTAGTGATCCTGCCACTCGGGGCTGGACTTGCACGCCTGTCATGCAAGTCCAGTGTCATGTGGCCACAATCGTGGGTGGGCCCACAGACAGGTGGAAGTGCGAGAGGGTGGGGGAGCGGACTGGTAGACAGGCATGCTGGCAAGGAAGCGGGCAGACAAGTGAGCAGACAGGCAGACAGACAAGGAGCACATCACTTACGTCCAGACGTGGTCATCACATCCTGACACCGCCAGGACACAAATCTAAGCGTGTGCATGCCACACATGTACAGCGCAATACACCCGCCCTGCCCATACATCTGCGGCGCCGTCTTGTGTGAACATCGTCAGGGCGAGCATGCTGGTTAGCAGGAGCGGACGAGTAGGAGAGCGGACAGGAGAGCGGGAGGCTGGTTGGCAAGCGGACCGGTAGGTGAGCGGACAGCGAACATGGGGGCGGGCGGGCGAGCGAGCAAACAGGAAAACAAACAGGAAAGCCAATGGGCGAATGGGCAAACAAATGGGCGTGCATGCAAGTGGGCTAGTGGATGGGCGTGCCTTTCAGTTTCAAGCCTCCACGCTCGCTGGCCTCCCTCCTCGCCCTGTATCTTCGAGGTTCTTGGTGATCCTGCTCGGGGTGGACTTGCATGCCCATCATGCAAGTCTGGCGTCGCGCAGCCACGCTGGCTGATAGAATGTGTTGACGTCAAAGCGGTGCTAGGCCTGCTGGCAGTTGAGAGTAGCGCACGTCCTCAGGCTCGACACGAGCCGGTGACGCTCGAGCCATCGCGGAAGACTACGGGTGGGGACAGTGGGAAGATGCGCCAGTGCGCAGAGGTACACAGATGAGCCAGCGGACGTGTAGACGAGGAGACAGTGGAAGAGGAGACGAGCAGACGGGGAGACGAGCGGACGGGGAGACGCGAGCATGGGTGAATGACTGAACGAGCGAGGAAGTAGACGGGCGACGAGGCAGGCGTACCTTTCAGCCTCGAGCCTCCAAGCTCCCTCACCACACTTCAAACCACCGCAGACAGATCTGCATGCGAGTGAGCAAGGGAACGGACAGACGGACGAACACGCAGATGCGCGAGCAGACGAATGAGTTGATGGGTGGGCGAACAGATGGGCGCGCATGCAGGTGATAGACGAACGGGCAAGCAAGAGCTCGCAGGCGCGCGAGCGGGCGGACGGGTGGACGGGCGGGCAGACGCACAGGCGGACGGGGGAGCGGGCAGACGGGCGGATCTGAGTGAGCAGGAGTCGGCAGACGAGCGAGCGCCGCCGAGCGGACAAACGAAGATACAGGTGGGCAGCCGAATGAGCAGACTGGCGCGTGCGCGAGGGCGAGCGACCGGGGAGGCGAGTGGGTGGGCGAATGGCCGAGCGAGCGAGGAAGTATCGACGAACATAGCGAAGGGCGTACCGTTCAGATTCATGCTCGCTCACCCCACCTCACCTCCGCTAGTCCGACCTCCCGTCCTTGGCGGGCACGAACTTGCATGCGCGTCGTGCAATTCGTGTGTTGCGTGGCGGCGCTCGCCGTCCTAAAGCTGTCCGGTCGTGTGGAGCTTGAAGTGGTGGTGGGTGTAATACTTAACGTTAGATACCGTGACGACTAGTGACTCACCTCAAATGGAGATTGGCAAGGACCTTGCCAATCTCCTTTTTGGGTGGCAGCCTTGCCTCGGCTCGTCCTTCAAGTCCGCGTCTGACGAGTTGTTGGGCAACTCGCTTGAGTCCCAAAACGTACAGTGTTGCGTGGCCGGTTCCCGTGTCGGACGGAGGTCGTCAAGCAGGGATCACGAGAGAGTTTGCGAGAGAGGCTCAAGCTGCGAAACGGGCGCTTCGCACTTGGTTCACGCGCACGCACGCGCCGCTAGGGCGCTCGACTCACTGCCCTACGACGGCGAGCATACATACCTACGACTTCTACTCTCCCTCTCATGCCTCCTTCCACCAGGTCGACTCGCCCACGCCCACGCCCTCAGCCACAGCAACACGACGCACATGTGTGCAGCGAGCACCCACGGCAAAGAGCGCGCGCGCGAACGCAGCCGATCAACACACCGCGGGCCCGGGCGCAGCGATGAACGGACAGCAGGCAGGGATGGGCGACTGGCGGGGACGGAAAAGGGTCTGCAGGTGAGTGCAGATTCATACGAGCTCGCCCACTAACTGCAGACACAGGACGCCGCGGCGTGCAGCGCGACGCGCACAACGACCGCGAGCACGCAGGGCCAATGCCCTGCGTGCAGGCACGGCCGATGAACGGGCGGCGTACGGGCGGGACCGCATGTGGGCGCAGGGCGAATGGGTGGGCAGCAGGCGAGCAACAAGGCTGGCGAGCAACAAGGCTGGCGCCGAGCGACCAGTCGATAGAAGGTGAGTGCAGGCTGCGCGAGCGAGCGAGCTGACCTTGGGCATAGGACGCGCCGACGTGCAGCACAGCAGACGCGCCGACCACGAGCGCGACGGGCGAATGCCCCGCGTGCAAACGCAGCCGGCGGGTAGACTGCGGGCACAGACGCCAAGGCGGGTGGTCGGATAGGAAGACGAGCGGGCGGATGGTGGGCGAGCAGGCGGAGGAGCGGGCGAGCAGGCAAGTGGGCCAGCGGGTATGCGAATGGACAAGCAGGTGAGGGCAAGCGGGTACAGGGCGCAGAGCAGCACCACACACGCCGACCGTGAGCGTGTCGGGCAACTGCCCAGCACGCGAACACGACCGACGGACGCGGGGAAAGCGAGCGGGCGGGCAGGCGAACCGATTGGACAGGTGAGGCGTCGACGGACAATCGGCCGGGCACCCAAACGAGTGGATGGACGGGAGAGCGGGCAGGCGGTTAGCGGAGAGGGCTGACGCCTGGAAACCGCAACACACGGCAACGATGAGCATGCAGGGGGACGGATTGACCGAGTAGGTGGGGACAAAACACAGCTCCGAACACAACACACGACGACCGCACCCACGACGACCGCACCCACGTCGACCGCGAGCGCGCCGAGCGAATTCCCAGCACGCAGACACGGCCGGCGAACGCACAAGCAGGCGGGCGCGCGGGTGGGAAGAAGGGTACACAGGCGGGCGAGCGAGACAGCGAGCGGGAGGATGGGCGGGAGTGCATGTGTACGGGCGGGAGTGTGTGCGTACGGGCAGGAGTGCATGCGTACGGGCGGGAACACGTACGTATGGGCGGGAACGCGTGTGTACGGGCGCCAGTGGATGCGTACGAGCGGGCAAGTGGACGAGCGAGCGAGCAGGCGGGCGGGCGCCGGGCGGGCGAGCTGGCGAACACAGGTGTGTCGTCACGCAGCACGAGACACACGATGACGGCGAGCACACAAGGCAAATGCCCGATGTGCAAATGCAGCCGACGAGCCGACTGCGTGCATGGGCCTCAGCAGTGTAGACAACAATTTATGTACTGTATGTCTTGAAAGGAGAGCTGCAATGACAGAGATTGATAGTATAAATGTGTGCATTCAGGCGGATTTGCTGGTACATGTGTTGACTTCCTCAATGCACTTATGAAGCAACCACTGTAGCCTGTAAAGTATTCTCAATGCTTATGCATTTCAACAAAGCCTTGTAGTTACTTCTCAGATTATTACAGAATTTACAAACTCTTTTAAATCACTGTAGAAGGGGTGTTTCGCTCATAAATCACTGCTGAAGTGCTTTTGATGATTGTGGCGGATTTGGAAAATGGCCAAGTGCTTGGGCGCTCAAAGTGTTTTTCCTGATGTCCTCTTCCCAAATCGCCCACTAACATGCTGATTTAGCAAAGACGAGTGCGTCGACCTCCGTGGGAGCATGCGTGCGCGCTGCACCCGCCCGCGAGCCGTTGCCATCCACGCCCGCGAGCCGTTGTCCACGCATGCGAGCCCGAGCTTGGCGAGCGCAGCGCCGTGGAGCGTGTCAGACACGGCCTGCATCGGCGTGGCCGCGCTGGCTCGATGGAGTCGACCTCGTGCAGGCGGATGAGGCCTACCCGACATCCTCGCTGCTGCGGCACGCCCACGCCCGCCATCCACTACCTCCAGCCGTGCGTCGTCCTGCACACAGAGTCGCGAGCACCCGTGAGCACGACCTCTGCTACTTCTTTGCGAGTCCGGGGCTGCTGTACCCCTTCGCTACCATGCACACTCCTTGCGCCGCAAGCCACGGGAATGCTCAGCTGCGGGCCACCGCAGGTTCCTGAGTGCGTCACGCAGGGCGTGAAGGAGCGCAAGCGTGGGACGAAGCGCATGGAGGACGTCGAGGCTGGGCTTGTAGGGTTGCTCGCGAGGGATGCTGTTAGCATCCCAAATTACTGTACATCATTAATACTCGCATGAATACATATAATCACTACAACTGCAGCGTTTGTTAGTGTATGACGAATTGTCGGGGCCTCGAACATACCAAATTGGGAAGGCTGCTGCTTTATGCCCTTTGTGTAAATTGCAGCAAGACCTATTACAGTGAATGACATTGCAAAGAACAAAGTCTCAGTGAAGTGTATGTTGCGGAGCGCAACACACGTAGTGTGTATGTCATGGAGCACGACATACACACTGCTATATATGGCACCATGCCTAGAACTAGAACACGTGAGATCTTGTAGATCACATTTCACGATCGTGTTCGCCCGATCCGGGACGCGCGATAGGACCTATATTTGGGTTGGGGCCGCCGGCGCGAGCTCACCCCGGCGCCGGGTGACCTGGGCTGTCCCTAAAGGGCAGCTGCCCATTTGGGTAGCGAGCGGGGCGCTCGCTGCAGTCACTACAGTGCCTTTATACATAAAGGCTCACTGTAAGCTCTGGAGTTTATGTATGATCCATTTGTGCTAACCACAGGGATTCATACATGAGCATGCCGGCATCTGGTGCCCCATGTACGATGATAGTAGAGGAGGATTGGTGCACGGAAAAGTCGTGATGAAGGGAGAGAAATGACAGTCGCCTCATGTGATGCTTGATGTATGGCTGGGAGCTGTATGTCTCCAAATGGGTGACTCGATCGAAATGGGGGAAGAGCATGTTCAGGAGGGCGTCCTGAGAATCCTCGGGGCATTTCGCCTGCGTGTCAACTTGAAGTGAAAGACCAGCCCTGCGTGATCGGCGCAAGTACGTCTCCACGAGTGGAAGTGGCATGCCGCGCGCACTCTTCGTCCACAAACGTGACGAGGAGACTGCGGCATGATACCAATGTCGGCAGACCAGCAGTACGGCGACGAACGACCAGTCGCGAGGACAGTCGGTTCGTAAGATTTGCAGGATCTCCGTGAGCAATTCAGGCGGCAACTGGTTGACGGGTACGGTCGAGTTGACGATAACGCTGATTTTGACCAGCCAGTCCCGCATATCCGAAGGGTCTTGAGGGTGGAGGCGCACAAGTACATCAGCAGGAAGGGGCGAGGGCGTCCGTAGTTGATCCAACTCAGATGCCATTGCACCTCCTATGAAGACGTATGTGAGTTGCATGCATGCCCATCAGGAAAAACCCACTTGGCTTGGCAAGATTGGGTGAAGCTTTACAAGATAAGTTGAACATATATGAGGCCATGTAAGATCTATCCTACTTGGGCATGTACAACTCCAGCTTGCTGCACTTGTAAAAGCCTTGTAGACTTGAATAAATGTAGATTAATGTCTGTGGTGCCTGTTCAAAAGACGTTGTAATTTCTTGTCATCCCAAGAATACTTTCCAAGAGACTTCATTTGTATTCAAAGCTTCAATACAAGCTGTTGCTCATTGTTCTCAGTTCTGCATTGAAGTGACATGACAACAATGACACAATTGTATTCATTGAACTGTAGTATATTACTTTGCAATTGTATCTACTGTATGCTCTGAATCGTAGTACTAGGGAGTGTACATTCACCTATATAATGGAGAACATGCATAGGAACATGCGTAACAAGGTAGGAGACAATGCACAAATGGAAATGAGAACAAGAAGATCAATGCAAGAGCGGAGCGACAAAGAAGAGAAACGCGCCACGAACCGGATGTGCCACCAAGGCCACCGTGCGTTGACGAGGTCCTATGCGATAGCACGGTGTCCGATATAATGAGCAACGACGGGCGCACGACGATCCTACCACACGCACGGCGTCGGGTGGGCGTACCAGTCCTAGCCCTTCGCCTTCTGCGTCCCCGAGGCGCGGTCATCGGATATAAAGGGCGAGCCCTCGACCGGCCCGTTTGCTTCAGCATCGGCGGCGAGGGACTCTTGCTCAATGACGTGGGGCGTCCCGTGGGTGCTGTGCGAGGCGATGCGGATGTTTGCGTCGACGAAACCCGGTGGCGTCGACGGCGATGCGGACGATGCGGGGCTCGTCGAAGTCGAGTACGACTGTTCAGGCGTGTCGGGCGTGTCGGGGCTCGTGGGCGGACTTGGGTACGCCATGCTGGCGTCGACGGGCATGGGGGTGGGCTTCGGTGGCGACGTCGACGGACGCGCGGCAAAGCTCGGCGTGGTGGTCGACGTGGCGCCGTATGACGTCGTCGACAGTACTGGTGTCGGCGCAGGCAAGGGAGCACGTACGTTGGGTATGGCCCGTGGCCCTTGAAGTCCCTCCGCACCTTCGCCTCGAACTCCTTCAACGCTGCAGGCTCGATGTTGAGCTGCCACTCGAGGTAAGAGCACATCTCTCGCTCCATTTGGTTGATCTCGCGGAGGGCGAACATGCCCTGGCCAACGATGCTCCACGACTTGTTCGAGTATGTGTCGTTGCAGATGACCTTGGACGCACGCGATCATGAAGGCGGAGATGAATAGACGGTGGTTCCCCGCCGCCCGTGTGAAGTCGCGTTCTATGGAGGGCGTAGGCGAGAAACAACGCAAGAGGCGGTGACGGTGCTGGCGGATTGGCGGTGGATAATGGAGGGAGGTCCGGGCACGCTAACAAATGCGTCACGAACCTCGCACAGAGCTTCGCAGTCTCTTTGTGTCCGTAGTACGGGTCAGGCTGGAGGAGTACGTTAGTGTACAGTAGGCTTGCTACTTCAGAGGTGAACGCACGATGCCATGATGTGCACTATGCCCGCTACTTCCACTCGATGGCGCTGGCGGCGGTCTTGAGGAAGTTATCTTGTTCGCTCTCCGGAAAGGCGAAGGATGGCGGGCGGTAGACGGACCCTGGACAGCAGCCATGTTGGTATGGTAGTCAAGCGTCGAGACGGAGCCACAGACAAGCGCGGTGGCGGTGGGCGACAAATGGTGGCGGCGGAGGGAGACTGGAGGGGACATAAGTCGGCACACTTGGCGTATAGCGACACAGAAGCCTCGGAAGGGGTTAAGCAAGCGAGCGTGCGTCAGCGCCGTGCATTGGCATACCCGTACCGTATACACTTTCTGCACCAGTGAAGGCGATGGGCAAGTGGGCACGTGGATCAGTGAACAATCGCATGGGTGGCTGGCCGGCTGAGAGGGTGCACGGAAGCGGGACAAGAGGGGCGCATGCGAGGCACGCGAGAGGGGCCATGGGTGAGGGTGTATGATCGTGTGAGTGGGCAAGAGGGCAGGTAGGCCCGCAGAAAAGCGGCCAGCCGGCCAGCAAGCGAGAGGACAACGGCAAGCGGGCGGGAATACGAGGCCGGGCTGGCGGGTGAGCAGCGTGGGTGGGCTGGCAAGTGAGTGGATGTGTGGACGAGGAAGCGAGCAAGTGGATGCGCAGATGGACGAGCTGGCGAACACACGATCAGGCGGAGGCACAAGTGGGCGGACGGGCAAGATAGATGGAGAGTAGCTGAGCAGGGAGACGTACATAGGCGGCCAGACTGGAAAGTGAGCAGACGGTCGAGTGGGCAGGCGGTCGAGTGAGCAGGCGGTCAAGTGAGTATGATGGAATGCGAGCTGTTGCATAGCACAGACAAAAGCACTATGCTGAGCGATAGCGCACTGACGAAAAGGATGTGGGTCAATATTTCCAACAAGGATGTCCCTGGGTGCATACGTACGATCCCTTAGAACTCAGCTGCTCTGAGGATGTGAGCACTGGGAAAGTCAGAAGCGAGCGTCTATGACTTGCATCCGCGCCGCAAATCGCAGTCTCGCGCGGCGTCCGCTTTCTCGCCCATCCGCTTTCTCGTACGTCTGTTCACTGCTTTCTCGCATCAGCAAATTGGGCAATTGCTGAGCATCTGACCAGCTGACAGCTAGCTCTCAGAAGCTCAGTTCACTCAGACTTACCAGTCGCCTTCAGAGACAGACAGTTGTCAGAGAGTATCTCTGTACTCTCAGACTCGTAACAGCTCTCAGTTATTGCTTGTACAGTACTCAAACAGTCACACCAATACTTATTGTTGACGTACATTGCTCACACTCGTAGCACCGAGACTACCTTGCGCAGCGTCGGCCAATCCAACATCAATATATTGCATCATTAGCTATATAAGTATATACAGATATGAAGCTCCCCGTTTGTCGGCCATGCCTGCACACAGGGCATTAGTCCTGCATGCTCACAGCTGCCATGCACGTCGTAGTGTACACCATTATGCCCTATGCCCGCCCGCTTGCTCGCCCACCTACCCGTTCGCTTGTGCACCCACTGTCTGTTCGTCAGCGGCACGCTCGCAGTCGGTGTACACACCGTGCTTCACGACGCTGGCACCTGTTCCTGCAGTTAGCGTGCCCACCCGCGTGTATTTGCACTCACCCGTCTGCACTCGCCCTCGCCCGTCCCCGCCGTATTCTCGCCTGTTTCTGCTACATGTTCGCCGTCCGCACACCTCCCGCCTGCGCCCACGCCCGCACTCTGCTCGTCGCTGGGGCTGTGCCCACGGTGTGTTTGTTGGCAGCACCTTCGCCGTGTATGCTTGGTATGAGAATGCAGGTAGAGGGCGTGACGCACTGCCCGTTTGAGCAAGCGTCCGAGCAGGCGGGAATCCGAGCGGGCGGGAATCCGAGCGGGCAGGAATCCGAGCGGGCGGGCGAACAGGGGAGCGAGGCGGATGAGCAGGTGGGTGAGTGAGGGAGCGAGGTGGATGTATAGACGAGTGAGGTGGGTCGGTAAGCCAGGCAGGTCGGCAGCAAGGTCAGCGAGCGAGCGGGCTGGCGAACGGGCTGGCGAGAAAGCCAGCTGGCGAAAAGACGGATGGGCGAGAAGACGGATGGGCGAGAAGACGAGCAGACGAGAAGACGGGCTGGCGAGATGGGCTGGCGAGCGTATGCACGCGTGCACAAGTGAGCGAGCGTCGCACTCACCTGTAAGCTGTCCGTGTTCGACGCGCACCCGTTCACGGACCTACCGGGAGCGGATCCGCGAGGGTGGCGGCCCCGTCATCTCGCTCATTCAAGAGCGAGTTCGTAAGTGGGCATCGCGACGAGCGTGGTGTGCTTGGCGACTGGGGCTTCTTGAACGCACTGCCATGCGCGAGGACGAGAACGTGCGCGTGGCCTTACTCGAGCATCAGGTCGGAGCTGGAGATGCCGCTGGGGAGTATGACGGAATCATTTCCGCTGAGGTCCAGTCGGCGCGGGGATGAGGACGTCCTAAACGATGGGGACGGGACTTGGATCTTGAAGCTTGGGATGCGCGGACTCGGATGGAGAAGACTCACCGTCGTTGTCAGTGTCACCAACGAGAAGCACTTATATTACTTACTTTTGTGGCCCACCTCCCCCAGCTCCGTGCTCCCTTCGCTTCTCCGTCGCTTTTTGCGTGAGCTTAGATGCTACCGCGCAGTGTCGACGCTGAACGTTGAACGTTGAAGTGGAGTCGGCGGGCTGCGACTCGAGAGAAGCGCTAAGCGCCTCAGCCACGACACGTCACGCGCGCTCGCCGGACTTCCTCTCGAGTTCGCCTTGCGATTCACTGTCCGTCCCTCCTCCCTGTCTGCTTCGCCGTCGCTTGCCCGCCGCCGACCTCCAGTACACGCAGGTGGGCCCGTCCGCAAAAGACGGCACGTGCATCGGACCACCGGACGGCTCAAGATCGTGTTATACGCGGCTGCGACGAGCTGAGACCGACTGAGACAGCAGTCAAGCGCTTGAGGCAGTCTGCCGTTCTACAGCTCGAACACGACGGGATCAAGCGCGAAAGGCCTCAGTCCAGACGGAGAAGTCACAGGAGTGAGGGGCAAGGACCAAGGCAAGGCAGAGAGACAAAAAGCGAATGTGAGTCGTCTATTGTGTACCTACTAACGACTTCTGTTGCTAGACACTACGTGCATTGACGAGCTTTATGCTCGTGATGCCTACTTCCCCACCAGCCCGCGCATCTAGCCCACCCTCTCACTCATTCACTCGCCCCCTCGCGCGCGCCCACCCACTCTCACCTCCAAGTTCCGCCCGGCCGCGCTCGCTCACTCATTCACCACTTGCCCAGCCGCGCTTGCCTCATCTCCTGCTCACCCGCTCATCCGTGGGTTGCGGCCGCAGGGTTAGCCAGTCAGGTGAGTGCACCGCTGTCCTCCCCGACCCCATTGCCAACCCCGGCAAGTGACAGTCCACCAGGACGACCGGACAGAGACGAACCCGACGAAGACGGCCCCGACCGGTTCGCTCGGTTCCAGCACCACGCGCGGTGTATCCTCTCCACCAACGGGCTTAACCGCTCGCCCGTCAACGTCCTCGTCTGGTGCGCACTCTCTGCGCGAACCGCGGGAAGCCGCTCCTCCCCCGCCTGTGCCGCACGGTCTCGTACGTCGACTCGGCGTTCTATGTGGACTTCCTGCTCCTCATCCCGTGGACGCCGCGCCACATCGACGTGCAGCATTGGGACAAGGCGTACGGCCCGAAGTACGAGATGTCAACGAAGACGAAGTGTGAGTACATGCGAATCCTGACGGCGCGCGACCAGCTGACGACACAAGCCTGCTTGCGTAAACCCGACAGTTATGCACCTGACAGGCCTCAACATACTGCGCACGGACCCACCAGCATCGAAGAGTTGGCCACCTACGGATACAGATCACGAACCGACGCGCACTGGTACGATTCGGGCCAGTTCGCTGTACATAGCGTGCCCAAGCCCGGTACGACAGCTCAACGAGCAGGACTCTGACAAGCAACAGCTCACCAGGCACCCGGCGTGGCGTGTAAGGGCCCGCTGAGCGACAGCCTGGCATGCCCAGCGCGAGGCGCATAGGGCCGTCAAGGGTGAGCATGCCGCGCCCCAGCCCGAGAAGGAGGCAGCCCACCGAGTACAAACGCAACAAGCGGGAGCAAAGCCTACCCCCCAACGCATCGGCCAGACGAACCCGCCACACGCAAGCTCGACACAAGCTCGACGCATGACGAGCACGAGCCAGCAAATCAACACACCTAGGCCCCCAAGTGCCAGGGTGTGCGCGAGGTCATGGAGCAGAGCCCGACGAACAGACCCTCGATGCGTGCGAGCCCACTGACAGTAGCTCGTACAAACCTATGGTAATGATTAGCATTATTCCAATTGTACAGCAGTAGTGATCCGTAGATTAATATATTTGATTGCCTCGATTTCGTACGACCTGGCTGATCTGACTGACGAACTGAGCAGTCTGACGGGTTGTCTGAGCATCCTGAGGATCCTGTCTGACGAGTTAGTGTCGAAAAAAAGCGAGGTCATGAGGGCTGAAGGTCTGAATCAATCTGAAGCAATCTGAAGGTTTCTGAAGGCTTCTGAAGCCCCTGACACGGCCGTCAGACAGATTGCATGTATTCCTGATGTCGCACTTCTGTTCAGTGCATGCTCAAAGTTCTCTCCTTCTCTGCTAGCTCTTTCGCCCGCCTACATCTTACCGTATGCGCATTGCCGTCTGCCGGCCAACTCGCGCGAGTGGTACAAGGCCACTTCCTCCTTCTCCTTCCTCCCTGGGCCGTCATGCATGCTCCCGCGGTCCGATTTCTGCCCTGGGAGGTCCTTCTCTAACGTTTGGTACGTTGATTTGGAATCTTGCAGCTCTAGCGAGACTTAAACACGACTGCACAGGCTCGGACTCGCATGATGTGAAGGCAGTGAATGCAAGTCCACCGATAGGACCTCACAGAATGCGAGGAATGCAGAGCAAAGGAGGCGGTAGGGAGGTGAGTACTTAGAAGGATGCAAGAGAAAGACGATGGGACATGGAATGGAAGGGCACGATGCGACGATGCAAGTACGGAGTGTGAGCACAGAAGCCCAGGTTCGCCCTCGATCTTACCTCCGCCTCACCACCGTTGTCGCTAGTGCCTGCGCCAGTATGCGTATCGATGCGCGATGCTTGCCACGAAGATAGCGGCCACGCTGCCGCTCCAGGGCTGGGTCAGCTCCGCCATCCAGAAGGAGCTGCCCTGGGACGGTGACGATGATAGTTGCGTATGGTCCCTCGCAGGTGAGCTTCACCCGGCGTGCATCATTGCATGTGCTGACTCACCGCAGCGGGCTTCAGCACCTCCTGCCCCACGGTGAACCCCCAACCTGCCCATGCAGACCTTCCCCTTGCGCCCGTGATCGGCCAGAACGCCAGCGTGTTGTACAACAGCACTGGTGGGCGCGCCCGTCTCCGCCGACGGGAGACGTGGATGGCATGGTGACACAACATGAACACGACGTTCACCACGATCCTCTCGGACAGCGGCGTTACGACCGTGTTGGACGGCCTGCGCGGAATGGTCTTCGCGGGCCCGCCGCGTGAACACGTTGGGTTCGGGGAGTCTGCGGTGAGTCTGCGGTGATCACAAAACGGATGGTGGAGCAGTGCATCGACCGTAGCACAGTGAGTACCATGGCTTGGCTTGAAGTACAGTAATTGCATATCTATTTGAGACCTCATTTGTACGTATAGTAGACTTGTGAAATGGATGATAATGGAAACAACAGACTCCGGTGTGAAGCTCATACTCAGAAGCTGTGTGACTAGTACTGGTATGTCTGTATGTCTGTACATCTACCAGTATGTCTACGTCTACCATAATGTCTGGTAAGCATATTTGGTACCCCAGTTGTTCAAGAGGAACTTCGTTGCCTTGTCCAGTACAGTATTCGACGTCCAGTCTTGTGGTACTTGAGCAGGTAAATCTACGGACAAGGGCTTAGGGAATTTGGGAATCAGCTGACACGACTGACGAATCAGTCTTAATGGTACTATCTCCCCGGCTGTGGTCCCATCCACTCTCAACGGCATCTTCTGGACGTCGTACATCATATGTACAGGGTCTGCCGAGGCCGGGAGCTTTGCGTACCACTCAACGTACGCCAATGGACCTGAGTGAGCCCATTCTTCCGGTGCAGGCATGTCCGCCATCATCCCATGCTGACGTATCTTCTGAGGCAAGCGGAAAATGACCTTCACCCGCCCGATTCTGGTACCTAGATTTTCCCGGTCAGTAGCTTGTAAGTGGGCATATATTCTGAACATACCTTGTAGTCCCGTTGCCTCCGCGTCATCACCCTGTAAGACCACTACGGTATCGAATCTTGCCGCGTCTGTTCCGCACGCCGGTTTGGCTTTGACAGCGTCGCGTTCGGGTTGAGTGTCGGTAAGGGGAATCGTCGTGAACTTGAAGTTATGGAAGACGTCCAGACGCGAGAATGGTAGGAACGTGCTTGCCATGTCAAGCTCCCTCAGGGTAAGTCGACGGCCGAGTTTGAGCGAGTAGATGTATTGGTTCAAGGCTTTGGTGAACCCGCGAGCGTTGTGTTTGTCGGCGATCGACTGAATCGGTTGCTGGACGACGGACGGATGCTTGGGCATCATAAGGCCGGTTCTGGGACGGTGAGGGTGAGGTTCTGGAGGGATGCGAGAGTCGTCAGAGTTGCCGGAGTCCTCTCGAAGCCTCTGGCGAAGCGTCTCGAACATCGCGACTTTCTCCTGGCGATCCAGCCATTTGACCATCTGAGGGCGTGCGTCGCGATGATTGGATGCTCGCCACGCTTTCTTCGCGCAGTCGATGTGCAAGCGTTCGAACATCTCGGTATTATAGTTGTCTGTTGTACCGAGATTTCGAATAGACATGATGTAGTGATGTAATGAATGGAATTTGGGGATGTCTAGGTGCTCACGAATACCGAGTGTCTTCAAGATTGATTTGTTCTTGTGGTAGGTCTTCAACGCGTCGTCCATGTACAAGAGGGTCGTCTCGTCGTGCGTCGGATACTGCGCTAAGTAGATGAAATCGAGGAGCGCGCGGAAGGTGTGGATGACAGCGTTAGGGACTCGACCTACGAGGCACCCCAGAAGAATGCGGGCCATGTCTTTGCGCTCGCTGCCGGACACCTGCGAGAGCGAGGAAATCCCGTTCTTGAAATGTCGAGTTCCATACGCGGGCGGAAGACATCGGATACGGGCGTCGAGCTCCTTCTCGTCCATAAGTTCGCCGCACCATTCGACGATGTGCTTGAAGACGCCCTGGTAGAGCTGGTGGAGGACGTCGGGGGTGATGCACATGTGGATGTCGGTAAATGGTAGGTCCTTCCAAAACGGCTCAACAACGTAGCCGGAGACATTGAAGTCCTTACACGCATTGAAGAATGGTGAAGATCCCTTCACGCCTTTCGCCTTTGCCTTGCGTAACACGTCCAGTGTCCAGAGCTGGCGTCGGGGGGTCCTTGGTGCGTCTTCTCCAAGGGCAGACTCGGGACATTGACAGATGCTGCAGGTCCCGTACTTGGCACAAGTGACCAAGCATTGCTCGGGATAATCTGCGACGTACGATGCGAGAACAGGGTGTACTCGGCGAACCTTTCCATCGCCCCCGGTAACATCGATTCCTTTTTTCCCGGCCTCGATCAACGGCTTGAGGATCATCTTCACTGAGCTATGGAAAAGCTGCTGCACCATAGCGCGGTGCTTGCGCTCAGTGAGGCCAGTTGAGTCCACCTTTTCTACAGACAAGTACCCGATCAGCACACAGGCATGTTCTGAAGGCTTACGTCGCAAGGCCTTCGGAATGTTGCCTAGGGTCATGTACACAGGGTAAGCGGATTTGTTGCCTGAGAATTGGGTGAGTTGTGTTTTATCTGTCGAGATGATCACCGGGGCCAACGCTGCACCAGCCGGTAGGAGACTCTTGCATTCACGGTGACGTTAGTAATTGTCTTTGACTAAGCAGTATGAGACTCACTTGTACGGCGTGCCACCACTTCCCTGTCCACATCTCAGAATAGATGCGGTTCTGCTTCGTTGCATCCGAAAACATCCAACTCGGCCGGTAAACAATGTGGTCGGAGTGAGCTGGATTTCCGAGTAGAGCCTTGATGGCTTCGATGATGCATCTGAACTGCAGCAGATGCCGTTCGCCTGGTCGATCCTTGAACGAAAGCCAGTGCTCCTTCCACCGTGCACGCTCCGGCAGGGAGTCGACCTTTTGCAGAAGGGCTCTCGTGTTATGGTACGAGAGTCCCAGTTTCTCCCTGACCTATATATATTGTCAGACTTTTCGAGTTCAGCTCACTAAATGCAACGCACGCACCGAAGGTATATCCAGAAACCTATCAACAGCACCCTGACTGATACCCTCCTTGATACACCAGGAGGCGATCTCCCAGTCCGTTTCGGATTCGAACGGCTCCCATAGTGATTTAGGAGGGTCGTCCTCGTCTACGGTAAGCAAGTCAGTATTTGTATGACAGCTCATTCGCATTCAGCACTTGCCTGCGCATCTTTGCCTGTCCTTATCTTTCCTCTTTGCAAGATGGTGTCGCCAGGCTTCTTGAACGGTTTGTCCCTCTCCTCTCACCGCCCCAGCTTTCTGATCCACGACCTCGACTCGGGTGTCATCGTCATCATCCAGCGCGGTGGCTGTGCGTCGTGCTGGTGCTGACGAGGACTCTGCAGTTCTTGCAGTGCGACTCGGCCCGGCGGTAGGCACAAAGATGAGGTCTTGTGCTTCGTCTTCGTCCTCGTATTCGCCCTCTTCCTCGGTCTGGTCCTGGCTCAGATCTTCTCGCTTGAACGCCGCGTCGGAGCGGACGTATGATGGTCCGGCAGCAGTCTCGTTATAGTGTTCGTCCCATAGTTCGTCGGTGCCATCACAATTGCAGTCCGTTGGTGCGTCGTCCCGAGCTATACCACTTGATGTGCTTGCTGCCGGAGCAGGTGAGCGCGTATACCTTTTGTAAGATCAGTAGCACTTCTACGAGGTAAAATTAAAATATGTACTCACCTGCGGTCAGCATGCGCCTTCCTAGTGCTTGTTGCACCGCGGTTCCTCTTGTTGTCCACCACCACTTCATTCTCGCTGCTAGAGTCCTCCGAATCCACGAAGATTTCCCGCAGCTTTCCTTTCTTGTACCAGCGACATTGGCGGCTGGTTGACTGGTGAGCCATTAAGCCTTGCGTGGTGTCGAAGTATCCATAACACGCCTCGCAGGTCTGTGCGAACAGGTCTTCCAAACCGCGCGATTTCTTCGGCATGTTCTACTCTTCTTGGTAAGCTTCTACATGCACAGTAAATCCGCGTCCAAAGAAACAGAAATTCCACGAACACTCACCCGTATTCGCAGCGAGCAGCGAGGGCTCTGGGATGGTGGTGATGGTGAGTTTTTGCGTTCAGAATGGTGGCGTAATTCGCAAGCACCTCTGCGGCGTTTAAACGCCAAGGTGCCTTTCTTACGTCTTGTCCAGCGTCGGCCGTGCTTGCTTTCAAGCGCTACTTGGATCAGCAAGTCTTGTTGTATCTCTATCACAGCTAGTGCGTCTGTCTCTCCAGATAATCGTGTTCAACACTTTACCTTCGTTTGTCATGCCCTTACTTCGCTCACCGTTCGTTTGTTTACATATTCACAGAGGCGCCTGGTCGTACGCAATCTCTTATTCGCCCCCACACTTCTGCCAACAGCCCTACCTGAGTTCTGGTGAGCGCATTGAACGGCTTTCAAGAAAGCCCTCGTGTTACCTACGACGAGCAAGGATATTAGTGAGTACCTACATTGCTCTGGTCAGGTCTGAGATGCCGTTCTGTATTCTGTAGCCGAGTGAGTGCGGCGAGGCCGCACTCATCCAAATAAGGAAACTATCCGCCCAATTGTCAGCATGAACACGGTGAAGTGTTCAATGGCAACGGGATGCGGGATGCGATATGCGGTACACCTTATGTGGTGTGCCGATGGTGGAAAATACGAACCGTCCGTCATCACATCCTCCTAAGCTTGTGCGCACGGATCCTATCTTCGTGAGCGAAGAAGGACGCCTCGGCAGCATTGTGCTGTCCCAATCACACAGGTCGTATTGTTGCATGTGGGTTCGATAGATCGTTATTGGACGATAAGATCGTGAGTGCCGCTGTTTCCCAGTGCCCGCATTCTGCAGCAGACTGGGGCCCCTAGACCTTGGTGGCTGGCTTCTAGTGGCGCCGGTGGCGGTCACTTGGGCCCTCAATCATTATCTTATGTATGCGGTACTTCTTTCAGTCGGATCTACCTCAGGCACCAAACCGTATCCCGTTTCCCTCATGTCCTCGATACGTTACGTTCACGGGCGCGATCCGCACATCGTCGCCGACCCCGGCTCGGACGACAGACACGTCATTGACTACGCTCACCACTACAGGCTATCGTCTAAGGACACCCCTACAATTTCCGACCTTTGGGAGGGGGATACTGAAGGTAAGCACATCGCATCGCATCACACACAGAAGCAATCTCACCTCGAGCACCTCAGGCGCATCGCTCTCTCCCCCATCCTCTGCCAGTGGTCCAACGTTCTCCCCCGAGCCCGGGGAGAAAGGGCTCTACGAAGATATTGCAGAGCTGGGCAACACGATCAAGCAGTGGCACCTCGCCGACAAGATCTTCGGAGCGCTGCTCGAAAAAGACGGTTTCCCTTGGCTCTTCAACACCATCATTAGCCACGACAACATCACTATCCAGGACTGGCAGGAAACAAGAGCATTCCTTGAAGACCATACACTACTCCTACGTTACCTATCGTGCGTAACAGGCGCCTTATGACACCACTGTACACGCTGATATTTTTCCGAAAGTTTTGCTTACGACCCCGCCATGCGCAAACTGGACGTATTCGGGCCATCGAACCTACATCAGGTAGTCACCAATTCGATGACCAAAGCAGTCTCATCCACAGTCCAGCCATCATCGGCCCAAGTCGTTCTCATGGACGGCGCGCGAGCACTCATCAACGATAACGTCGGATACATCCCTGACGCCGTGATGACAATCGGCGTGACAAAGAAACTGTCGACAAACGATCCAATCAACGTCACTCTTGACACGTTTGTGACTGAGACATCGTACACCCAGACCCTCAAGAAGATGCTCAAGAAAGTAAGTAAACCTTTGTATTTGATCGGTTGTTGACTCACTATTCACAGCTCCTTATTGCAATGGTGAAACAGGGCGAGGGTCCGCTCCTCTTCACCGGTATCAACATCGATGAACTCGACTACATCGATCCAACCAAAGACAATTCAAAGCCGGACGACAAAGGCTTTGTAGCTGGAGGCGGCGAGGAGAACGACGTACTGTGCACCGGCTGGAAGCGAGGAGATGAAGTGCTTGTCGGTAGGCTCAAAGGCCAATGGTTTGTCTTCATCCCAGAAGATCGCGACGGATTGCAAGAAGCCCTCGATACGTACACTGTGATTGACGACTGGATGAAGTGGTTCTATTGTGTGGTACGTAACTGTCGTCTTTACCTACATTCCGTTCGATTGGCGCTAACCTCACTCAGCCCATCCAGCATGAATACCCGGAGGGCTCAGACGTCGCTGCAGTGCGCGATGCCGTCGTCAAGAAATATCGAGGGGCTATCCGCAACATTCGCGAAGAGGCGCACAACCAACGCTTGCACGCTCTACTCCTCGAGGCGATCAAGAAGCGGAAGGGAGACCTCGTGGCCAGCCTGCGGCGGCAGCTCCTCGAAACACCGGACTTCTTCGACCCTCCCATACCGGATCCCATCCCTTCGTTCGTCAACGACATCTGGGGCGGCGCGCGCCATATGGTGGAGGACATCTTTAACGGGCGTGGTTACCGGGCCAACGACAGCAACTCGAATGCGCCCAGAGGTGCCGCCAAGCGAGCAGCTCTCCTCGAAGTAGCAGATAGCCTGAAGCGACAACTCGAGGAAGATGAGAAGGCAGGCGACGCCGAGATCATCGACAGCTTCTGCAAGAAGCAGCGCATGAACACGCCGCCGCCGCCTGTCCACTTGCAGGAAGGCGCGTCGCAGGAGACCCTAATCGGAGACAAGGGGCACAGTGACGATTCTGCCAACAGCTCTTTTGACTCGCAGGGCAGCGGGGAATCTGCCGGCAGCGCGTTCGATCTCAACCTGGCCTTGGCCGACTTCCGCTCGCTGGCCACCTCCCGTGAGACGAGGAGCGACACTAGGGGAGCGTCGAGGGGAGCGTCGAGGGGAACGTCGAGGGGAGCGTCGAGGGGAACGTCGAGGGGAACGTCGAGGGGAGCATCGAGGGGAACATCGGTGAATAGGCATCAGTGAGTGAATGTGGCTGCGTAGTGGCAGTGTAGTGGCGGCGTAGTTTACAGTTGGTAGCATCTCGTCTTCGTTGTTCTTCGACCATCGCTTTCATGTCGTTTTCGTATTGCTTTCTTGTAGCGCCTGTGAAATACATCATTCATGACATATCGCCGGGGTCGTGTGAGCAAACATAAGTGAGAATAATAAGTCTTGGGCGCCTTCACGTCTAGTGATGCTAGTCTAATGCTAAGTACATACCTTCCTACTACCACCAGTAGTCTGTAAAGCACCTCTCATCAGTACTGTCTTACTCGCACGTCATGATCGCACCGTTTTCTCTCACTGAAGATGAACAGCAGAGCTTGATTGCGCTGCTCGAAGCAACGCCCAATCCCACGCAAGTCTTGTCATACTTGCTGGCTCGGTTACAAGGGAACCAGGATGTTCCCAAGAATGACTCGAGTCGGTCAGGTACGAGTAACTCCTACATACTAAGTTCCAAGCAATACTGATATCATTTGTGATGTACCACAGGTACTCTAGAATCAGTGCAGAGCATGGAGAACGTGCTCTCAACTTCTAACGGGTCCTCTCTGTCGGAACGGCGTCAGACACGGTCTCAAACTCGACAGCGAGCCACGAACGATACACAGCAGGTAGATACTACCAACAATCAACAACGTAAGCTGCGCTTGATTGGTATGTGCTGGTCTGACACTGACGTGACTCCTTCAAGAAGGGAGGCATCCTGTCGACGTTGCATTGGGCCCCAGCACAGTTGGGCCCACCAGGACAACACGATCGCGGCAACGAAAGCAACCGTATGCGCACGAAGAAGGAGACCCTGCTGGACGAGGGCAATCTTCTCATCGGCGTAATGTCCTGCGACGGCGGTCCCGCTCGCCATGCTGGAGAGGAGGATTGCCATTCTGCCATCGAGCAGGTGTCGCTGCCTCCAATATAGCATGGGAATCCGATCAGCTAGCGGCGCCATCACAATCGTCAAAAGCCAGCGTACACAAGTTCTTTTCCAACCTAACTAACAATCTCACAGATCAAGCGTTTGTGAAATGTTGTAAGTCCGTGCAAGAAGGCACGTTCGGTTGGCTGCCGGGTCAGCGGTCCTGTTGCACAGCAAATGAGCCAGTGAGGACGCTTGCTACACAATGCGCTACAGCGCTGAACGACGAAGCAACATCTGACTTCGTGATCATGCTGAGGCTCATCCAGCTAGCGTGCCGTTGTAGCAAGTACGTACTTATTATCTCACAGTCGTTCATGAGCTTACAACCAGGTCTGACAACATCAAGTTTGCGACAATCTGAACCTGGTCTTACCAACACCAACATCTGGCACACCGAGCTGGAAACAACGACCACTGTCGCGAAGAGAACCTTCTTGGATTGGGTTGCTACTGGCAACAAATTTGCGTTCGTCGCGGGAGGAGGTAAGCCTTGTAAAACGTCTTTGATGAGTGCTGAACAATGACATTTGTCCAGGCTCAGTGTATATACTGATTTTGATTGCCGTCCAGAACGTCCATCAGGAAAAACAGGCTTTGCTTGTCAAGCCATACAAGACCATTATCGTCTTGGAGACCCCTGTTTGCTTGGCAAGACAAGTTCCGGCGGAATGCTGCTTGGGCTAAACCCCTATATCTTGGCTAAGCATTATAATATGTTACGTTGCCCATGTGCTTGAGGACCCCAAACAGCTTGTCTGACCATTCAAGCATGATTCGTCTTGTGGCATATTATAGTAGCATCAGGACTTGGCCAAGACGTGTAAGGGTTATATTGCTTTCCCAACAATTCGTGCACAATTGGCAAATTGTACATTTGGTTACAAATCACACATAGCATTCTTGGCACGTACACAGATGATGATCGCGCGGTATATAATACATGTGACACGAGGGTATCCGACAACGAGAGATAGGAGGACTAGATACGGCGCATGTAGCAAACCGAACTTGTGGCAGATGTTACGCGTCAGGATTGCAATAGAGTAAGTCTGTGGGACATCAGTCCGTTTGATAACTGGAGGTGCCTTGAGGACTTACCTTGGTCGTTGTGCGCAATGGAGGTATATGTGCTGCCTTGCTCACTTTCCGGTCACGCTTGCTGGCAACGGCATTATTACTGGGGTAAAAAATATACGTAGTGTTGCGACTCACGTTCGCCGGGACCGTCAACCATGCCATTGTTTCCACCGTCAATAATGCCTGATAGTTAGTCATGAATGCCGCTTTAATCCAAATATACAGCCATACCACATACCTCGCGTTGCCGACGAAGACGCCTCGCCGGAATGTTCAGCGGTCAGATCGACAACCTCAATGTCATCCCACGCGACGAACTCTTCGTCGTCAGCCTCATCGCCAACGCCCAATGTAAGGGCTCCCTTCTTCCCAGCCTCTTCATCCTTACGAATAAGTTCCCTGAGTAGATGTTAGCATTGCTGAGCAGACAGACTACCCACACTTACGAGACGTTAGCCCAGACATAGTGCCTCAATGCCACGTAGGCATTCGGCGCCTTGTCCTTCATGTCCCGGAGGACACCGATGATGTTCACCCACCTGCAGAAACGCCAATCAGTAGTTCTACAACATATGGCGTACTGCACTCACTTGGGTGCGTACACTCTGTTCGTGAACTGCTGCGTCCCCGTGGCGACATCCGCTAACCCCATTTCAATCTGTAGTTTTGCGGTGATATCAGTGTTCTATATGCGCTTTGTATCGTAGACCATCATCATGCGACTTGACTTACCGCATTGCAGACCAGTGCCAGAAGATTGTCTGGTACCTCTGCAAACCTTCCTTGTGATTCTTTGATCACCGAGTCGCGTTGGCCGGCGTAGAACCATTGTGCCGCTATGAGCTGGAAGATCGCCTTGTGCTGGAAAGGTTGCTTGCGATTGACACGACTAGCCTATCTTACATGAGGCTGATAATAACATTAGCGTTGAGAGTATATACGCTCACCTTCACATCCACATCATCGCCCGTCCAAACTATGCTGATGTTGTTGAAGATAAAATTCGGCATCGTATGTTTACCTTGCACGTTGCCCTTTAGAAGGAATGAAGCGGCGGAGACCTTCCTGGGACCTGACAAATGATTTAAGCCATAAGCATCCTCGACAACGACCTTCGCCTTGTTCTTCAACTCGTTGCGCAGCTGCGACGCGGCGGTCCACACCTGTGAAATTGACTTAGCTAACAGGACGTGAATCTATGACCGACGTACCACATCGAAGACATTCACTCTCAGGACATCATTGCCATCGCCGTTCAGCTTCTTGAACCCAAGGGCGAAGTGCATGAGAGGCTTCCCGTCGTCGTCGCATAGTTCTCGAACGTCGTTGACCGCCCTCTTGATGAGCACGTATTTCTCCGGTAAAAGGGTGCTGTTTGTCATCTTCTCCCACGTCCAAGCGTGCTCGAGAGCAATCCTGAGGCGGAGGTATGAGTGAGCTTTGGTAACGATGGACCTGACTTCGTCAGGCAGGTCTCTCATCTGCGCTCGACCTCGTGTGCGAGCTGCCCCGGCAGCCTTAGGTTTGGTTTGCCTTGCCTTGCCCTTCTGCGCCTTGACAAGCTGTGACTTGTGCAGTTAGTGCTGTGCGCATAGGTGAGTGTACCTACCACGACATCATCACCCCCGCCTTCCGACTCATCTCCTCCGTCCCCTCCCGAATCAACGGCCCTGTCGCCATGGTCGCTGCGAGCCGCATCGTCCTCTGAGACGGACGTAGCCAGCCACGCCGGTACCTTGTCCTTTCTCTCGCTAGAATTTAATTTATTGGTTCGATGGCGAGTGCTCTGCGTGTATGTCAGACGTCCCAGGTTGCACGTCATGCAACGAGTAATCTATTTGATGTTTGTGGGTAGTTACCCACCTTCCTCGTCGGCGATGTGATCTCATCGGCCGCCATACGACGCACAGTCTTAGCTTTGTCTCCCCGGCGGCCACTGGACGCGTCTGATGCCGAAGCATCCTTGTCACCGCCACCAACGGTCTTGCCCTGCGTGCGCTTGTGACGATTAGTCTTCGTCTTGGAAGGGGCCTTGGCAGTCGTCGCAGAACCTAGACGGTGGGCGATGCCCTGTTCCTCTTCATCTGACAGGAGCGGTGCGCTCATCCGCTCATCGTGCGCCCCCTCCCGCATGTCGACATCCTGGTCTTGCGGCATCGCCTTGCCTTTACCCTTGACATCTCGCCCAGGTCCGCCTAGCATTGCAATTGAGTAGCAGGTGTAGGAACTCCGAGTCAGGACATACCGGTGCGTGAGCCTTGAGCTTGCGGCGGGGTTCGCTCCAGCTCATCCTCCTCCGCGGACTCATTCTCCTCGTCCTCGGTCGCCGCTGCGTCGCCCTCCACCTTTCCGTCCGTAGCACTCCGGTCTTCATCGTCCTCCGATGGCACAATGTTCCTCGATTTCTTGCGCTTAGGTTGGTCCTCCTGCGCATCTTCATCGCTCTCTTGCTCTTCAAGGGTCATCGTGGTAGCCGTCTTCTGTATCCCTAGCATCAACAACAATACAAAAATTTCAGCAGTTTGAATGACATGTACAACGGTAAGACCCACTTGAGCGACGCTTCGCCTCCTTCTGCTTCTCGGACTGGCGTTTTTTGAGCTCTAGCTGCTTCAAAAGCTGTTCGTCCTTCTTGCTGAAGCGACCCTCGTCAACATCTTCGCCCTCATCGTCGGTGACTCGCCCACGCTTCTTGCCCGGCTTGGGCGGGGACTTAGAAGCAGGCGCCTTCCGAGGAGCTTGAGATGTCTTGGTCACTTTCTTCTTGGCAGCGGCGGCGGTGGTACCGTCGTCTGTACGCTGCTGGCGAGCGGTCGAGCGAGTACGGGTGTTCATGTTGACAGGCCAGATGAGAGCTGAAACCAAAGATGCGAGCTACAAGCAAGAGAAACAAGAAAAAAATACCGGCCGGCTGAGACAGTCATCAGATAAGTAGGGCTTCAACTGCGCCGTGAGACTGCACCCCAACAGCCTGCGCTTCCGGAAGTCCTCAGTCGGCGGCCATGGTAGCGCGGGCGAGGCAGGATTTGGCCATGTGACTGCGTACAATCCCGAGCGCCCCAAGACGGCTATATGCTTCTGGTAAGTGTGGTATGCTCGACACAATGCATATATACGGGACTAGCAAAAGCCTTGGCTCCGCTACGGACGGGAATCTATTGATGATTGCTGGTCAGCAATGCTGTGCGCGAAGATACATACCGTATACTTAGTATACGCTGTATGCAAAGGCCGCTCAGCTGCCTCCCTTCGGGAGTCGGCTTCGTGGTCTCATTGATCATTTTCTGCTTGCAATAGTATTGTCAGCTGATGTAAGTACAGATTCTATAGCACATTTACGATCGAGTCATCTGTTATGCAAACTATGGCTAGTGTTAGTGAACGGGGCCAGATTGGATGCGAGTAGTACCGCGAGTGCGCAGGGCGCATCCCACACCCGCGACCTGCGATCTGCGTACCCATACCCTGCCCGGGTTCACCGCCGGTGTTGGCGGTGGACTGCTGGTTGACTTACCTCGGCGGTACCTGCGCGGGTTGGGCTTGTTGCCTGCACCCACCGTCCTCCCTGTCCTCCGTCTTCGCTCCTCACGTGCTCCCGCCTGCTCGCTGCTGTGCCCGGACCCTCCACGCCCTCGTCGGCTGGGTTGGCATGCAGGCACTGGCTATGCGCTCGCAGTCGGTGTGATGCGCACGCCCCGGCCCTGCCCTTCGCTCGCACGCGCGCGGTCCCTTCGTCGGCGGGGCTTGCGTGCTGGACATCTGCCCTGTGAGCTCGCAGTCGCCGTGCATGTGTCGTCGTCGGGTTGTGTGCCCGCTCACCCGACCGGTTGTCTGCACACTCGCGTGTCCGCTCGTCCGCGTGCGTGCGTGCGCGTTCATCAGCCGTGTCTGCGTGTTGGGCATACGCCCGCCACGCTCGCGGTCGGTGTGTGTCGCGCGCGCGCCAGCCTGCCCAACATCGCCGTCGCCGGTCTGTTGTCCAGTGCGTGGGGTCTGCTCGTCGGTTGGCCGTGTGTGCTGGGCAGTCCTTCCCCACCATCCGCTCCCTCGGGTCCGCACTCGCTCCCTTCCGCACTCGACCTCCACCCGTCCTCCTCCCTGCTCGCCGCTATACTCGCGCCCGTGGTCCGCTCGTCGGCTGCGCTTGCACATGGTACCTCCGCCCTGCGTGCTAGCGGTCAGCTAGGTTGTGCTGCGCGTTGCCGTGGGCCCACTGTCAACTCGCCCTCCCGCGTTCTGCGCTCATACACGGGCGGTTCGCTTGTCGGTCGCGTTTGCGGTGCCGTGCATTCGCCCGGTGCGCTCGCGGTCGACGTGCGCGTCGTGCTTCACGTCGCCGCGCCCTGTGACTTTGGTCAGCACGCTCATTCACTTGCGTCTGCACTCACCTTTCCCCGATGCCCTTCCTTCGCTCTCGCGCACGCCGTCCGTTCGTCGGCCGTGTCTGCACGCAGGGAACCGGCCTTGGATGCTCGCGGTTGTCGTACCTGTTGTGCCCGGGCTGTTTGTGTTGCCGCACGTCATGCCCGCCAGTTCCTCGCCCTCGCCCATCCCCAGTGCCCACCATCCGCACACTTCTGTCCGCCGCATCCTCCCTGACCGCATTCCCACCCTCCTCCGTGGTTGTCCACCTGTGCCTGCAGTCCGTTCACCGGCCGTGTCTGCTCGCAGAGCATTGGCGAGTCGTGCTGCACGTCGTCGCGTTCCATGGCTGTTGATGGTGATTGGCAAAGCCGTTGCCGCGCCCGATCCCAAGCTCGAGAGCCGTCAGCGATAATGTGAGACGGAGAGGCTGGTGGCGGCAGAGGGAGGAGGTTAGGAGGAAGCACTGAGCAGCGGAATGCGCATCGGGCACCGGTCGGGCATTTGTCTCTGGCGTCCAGCCAATCAGCACGCCCCTTTGTCCCGCGTACGAATATGAACACCTCTTGTAGAGTAGATCTTGTAGAGTAGATTATTCTACATGTCTACACAAAATGACTGTGTTCGACCCAGCCGTTACGACTATTCGAGGTCCACTTGGACATTTCTCTATCCGTATGTAGAACAACGGAGGCTCTTCGTCCCGTGTAATGCAGATTGAAATGAGTAAACTCGCAAGAGGGAAAAACGATGAAATCTGCGTGACGCAGGGGAATTACAAGACCTGCTTCAACGATACACAATTCCCCGCCATTGAAATCTCCAATAGGCAGAACAAGGCATACCCTGTCATCCTGGGCGTCCCTATGTGCTCGAGTGACGACGTTGAGGTTGACTGCCAAAGCAACAAACGGATGGACGGCGGACGCGTTGTTGTCTGGTAAAATGGATGCGGTAGCTTCTAGACGTTCGTATTCATTCGGCAAGATGTCTTGAAGCTATGGCCAGCTTTGTTAGACAGTTACTCTGATTGAGAATGCTCAGGAGAACGTTACCTTGTCGGCCAGCCATTCGAACATCTCTCCGAGGATTGTCTTGACAGCCTCGTAGATACGTCGATGCTCTTCCATAGGCTTCGACGTGTACGGGATAAATTGTTCGTGGTTCGTTCTAGAGCAACCCTTCCGACTCATCAAGGACGGCGCTATGTCTTGAGGTGCATCATGGCCCTACGGATCAGCCCCTGTAAGCTTTAACAACTGCACATGTACAGGGACGTACGAACCTGAGTACAATGCCTGTTGTACCAAGCAAAATGGATGACCTGAAAGGTTCTCCTTACATCGCGGGATTTGGCGTCCACCGTCTCGAACGGGTCGGATTCGAAGCATGTGATGAGACGTTCGACCAGATTGCTTCGCATCACTTCGGGCATGGAGGTGCAGATACTGGCAATGAGCGAGTTACCCTGACCGCGAATCGTAAGGTTGTCCCTGCGTTGAATATCTAGTGTTAGCTATGCGGCGCTGGTTGATCATGTCATTAGAACTCACTCTATGAGATGGACCGGCACTCGAACATATGAATCTGCGGTGACTCTCTTGCCTGAGGCATACATTGCTTCAATCTGTGCCAATGATAACGCAATCAGGGGCCTATTACCGAAGACTTTCATGTGAATATCAACGTACCTCTGTCAGAAGATCGTGGATACTTGTCGGCATCGTTGCTTTACTGGCCCTTGATCGCTCCTGCTCCGTCCAGACAATGTTATTCTCTCGGTCACGTTCACGGGGCGCGGGACAACGTTTGTTGTCAGGATGTTGCGGGTCGTACGAGGTTTGGATTGCCTTGTTATTCAGCGAGGTGGCAATGATCTGCGGTAAATCCAAAGCAACAGAGTGCGGCGACACGGACCCGCGCAGCATTAGTGGGAGTGATGGCGATCGGAGAGATGACAGAGGCGTGAGTGGCGATAAGGGAGAAGAAAGTAGAGATGGATGATCATTCGTCTCGCGGATGGCCCGCGGCGAAGGGGACGCAATCTCAGGTTCGATGGCCAGGGCTGTCTGGAGTGTGTGTGCCCTGTAACACGTATCCCAGGTGCTGGAACAACGGGGAACTAGCTTGAACGAGCTACGACGCGAGGTTGTGAGCTGGGGAGAACGCCATAGAAGAGCAAGATGCGCGACTGACTTGTACACAAACGAATCAAAAAATATGTCTGAGATTTCGAGATTTCCGCAGACCACGTTGTTCGCCTCCCCGTCCGGGAGCAGGGAGGACACCGTAAACAAGTCTTGCAATGGAAGCGGGAAGTGCTTTTGTAGCAGCGCTATGGCAGGGACAATCATGTTTTTTACCCCAAGACCAGGCGGAGTATCTAGGCCTCTGATGAGTACGGCGACAACATCATAGTGTTGACTTACCGTCCGGCCATCTCAACATATTGGCTATATAACAGGCCGTGTGACCGTCCATTGAGCCTAACCTCGCTCTGAGGTTCCTCATGACGATGAGAACCAATACATAAACGGTACCTGTGCAGGCACGTCATTCTCAACCTGGATTGACGGACATTACACTGAGCTTACCACCACCGGCCACCCGCGCAAATTTACTGCCCATGGCATTCCACTTTTCAAACGTTCTTTGTGACACTGTTCGCTTGGCGGCCGCTTGCAAGTGAGTTTCCCTGATCTCTTTGAGAGTGAGTTTGGGACTGGGTCGACGAAGGCTAACAAGCAACGGGTTAGTTTATTATCATGACACCAAGTGCGCAGCCTCAGGAGCAATCTGCGCATACCTGCTAGTCTTGCACGCAAATTGAATGAGTTTCACCATCACCGTAAAGTCTGAGGCTGCGCTATCATGAAATGCCTCGGCACATCGTTCAGTGAGCACGTTCAACGATCCATCCGCACCGCGGCTGACTCGAAGTGACTCGGTTACACGTAGCACGTTCTCACCGTATTCTAGAACAGCCGCTTCTGTAAGATTACCAACGAGATCAGCAAAGAATTGGGTTACTGTCGCCTTGGACGCATGTGACGGCGGGCAGCGGATCGGTATCCCA